ACATCAAAACGACATTTCATACTAGATATGGCCATTATGAGTTCTTAGTAATGTCTTTTGGTCTCACTAATATCCCGACAGCATTTATAGATCTCATGAATAGGGTGTTTTGAAGTTACCTAGATTCATTTGTTATTGTCTTGATTGACGACATCATGGTATATTCGAATAACAAGGTTTAACACATGGACCATTAAAGGGTTGTATTGCAAATGCTTCAGGAGAAATAACTATTTACCAAGTAAAGAAAATGTGAGTTTTTGTTGAGATCGGTGGCATTTCTTGGTCATATCATCTTTAGTGAGAGAGTTGAGGTTGATCCAAGAAAAACTGAAGCGGCCAAGAATTGGCCTAGACCATTGACTCCAACTAACATTAGGAGTTTTTTGGGTCTAGCGGGATATTATAGGAGGTATGTGGATGGTTTTGCATCCATTGCATCTCCTTGACTACCTTGGCCCAAAAGAGTGAAAATTGAGTGGTCGGAGGCAGGTGAAAGAAGCTTCCAAATCTTAAAGGAGTAGCTTACCTCTTCTCCGGTGTTGACTTTAATAGAGGGTACAAAGGTCTTCATTATATATTGTGATGCATCTTGAGTGGGCTTCGTGTGTGTTCTTATGCAACATGGAAAAGTAGTATCTTATGCTTATATAACTTATGGTGCATGAGAACAGTTATCCGACTCATGATCTCGAGTTAGCGGTCGTGGTATTTGCTATGAAAATATGAAGGGGTTATTTGTATGGTGTCCATGTGGATGAATATACCGACCACAAGAGTCTTCAATATGTATTTACTCAAAAGGAGTTAAATCTCTGACAAAGAAGGTGGCTGGAATTATTGAAGTATAACGACATGAGTGTTCTCTCCCACCCTGGAAAAGCCAATGTAGTTGTGGATGATACAATTCATATGACTCTGGGTAGTGTTTCTCATGTAGAAGAAGCCAAGAAAGGCCTGTAAAATATGTTCATAGGTTTACTAGATTGGGTGTTAGGTTAGAAGGTTCTCCAAACTGTGGTTTTATGGTCCATCATAATTCTAAATCGTCTTTAGTTGTTGAGATGATGTCTAAACAACACCTTGATCAACCATTGATGGAGTTAAAAGGGTCGATTCTTGGTAAGCATATTGAGTCATTCTCCTTGGGGGGGATGGTGTATTTAGGTACCAAAGAAGGTTATGTGTGCCTAATGGTGATGACTTGAAAAATTGGGTTCTTGAGGAAACTTTTGGTTCCTATTATTCTATTTATCTGGGTTCCACAATGATGTATCATGACCTTATAGAAGTGTTATGGGGGCATAGCGGAATTTGTTAAAAATGTCCAAATTTCTAAAAGGTGAAAGCCAAACACTGAAGCTGGGTGGTTTACTCTAAGAAATCAAAGTTTTAACTTGGATTTGAGAAGATATTAATATGGACTTCGTGGTAGGTTTGCCTCAGACGCAAAAGCAACATGACTCCATATGGGTGGTTGTGTATAGATTGACCAAATCCACTCATTTTATTCCCGCCATGTCCACATACTCGACAGAGGGTTATGTAAGGATCTTCATAGATGAGATTGTGTGTCGCCATGGTATTCCGTTATCCATCAGATTTGATAGGGGTGCAAAATTTACATCTAGGTTTTGGAGGTCGTTTTAATAAGTGTATGGTACCAATGTAAACCTAAGCGTTGTTTTTCATCCCCAAATGGATGGTCAAGAGGACCGTACTATTCAAACCCTTGAGGATATTATTAGAGCTTGTATAATTGACTTCAAGAAAAATTAGGATAAACACTTGCCTTTGGTTGAGTTTTCCTACAATAATATTTACCAATCATGTATATCTATGGCTCATTTTGAGGCTTTCTATGGTAGGACATGTAGGTCTCCAATTTGATTGTTTGAAGTGGTCGAGTCTTCACTCTCCAGTCCAAAGTTAATTTATAAGAAGTTGGAGAAACTTCATCTGATAAGGAACCGATCGAAAACAGCCTATAATTGGCAAAAGTCTTATGCTTACCATAGGAGAAGGAATTTAGAGTTTGAAGAACGTGATAAGGTCTTTAAGGAAGACCCTTGCATTTTGGCCAAAAAGTTGTCGTTGAGGCAATGTCTATCTACGTTTTGCAGGCGACGGGGTGCCCATTGCCTCCACCGACCAACACTTATCCATTTTCCAAAATTTACAATTGGAAAACTCTCTTACCAAAACAACGGTTGTGCAGGACGGTTGGTCCAAGGCACCATCGATAGACCTATGGCCCGTAGGTTGGGGTTTCGTAGATCAGGTCCCTATTTTGCTGCTATGTTTTAATTAGTTCAATTAATTAATTAGATGGTTATTTAATTAGTTATGGGTTAAATGAGGTCTAATTAAGTTAGTTAATGACCTATATAAATACCAAATCCTAATTAAATTAACCCAAAACTCATATTTCTTAAAACCCAATTACTTTCTTTCTCTCTGCTTTCTCTCTCCCAAAGAAACTCCATAGAATACCAAGCAAATATGGGTTATAGGACATGAAGAAGACTACTTTTATCCATCAATATTAATCATTTAACAAGGTATGGAGTCCTTTCACCTCCAGGATTCCATTCCTCAAGGGAATCTTCAAAAATTGATTTCAAAAGATGAGTTTCAAGTGGCTCTTCTTCTATAAAAAATTTGATCTTCCAAATTGTATTTTTTATGGTTTATTTTTATTAATATGATCAGATTATGTTTTATTATGGTTCAATTGCATTATTTCATAATGAATTAACCATGTTTGTGGAATAAATCATGAAATTGACCCAAGTCTCAAAACCTAGGTTATGAACTATTGATGAATTGAGTGTAGTGATTCAATTGACTTTATTATTGTGTTAATTACCATTTATTTATGTTATTACACCAATTGTTGGATTGAATTGACTTGGTTTATTGTAAGACTATGATGATGGCTTGTGATGGAGATTGGGGTAAGTCTTGTGATATCAAATCTTTACTTCAATTATGATTACATTTGTTTAGTGATGAGGTTATTTTAAAGTATACCTTATGATGATATTGATTAAGGTTGGTTAACTTTTAATTCAGATACCTTGATTATATGATTGTAACATTATGCTTAAGATGTAATGATGTAAGGTTGGTGATGAAGTTCCTATGTGCCTTCATATGATATAATGATGTTAATGTTCAAATGTCACATATGAGGGTTGAAATAAATGGTTTTCTCATGCAATTCCTATTGATCGATGACTATGACTATATATTGGGTAGACCCTATGACCTAAACTAAGTTATGAATATTAATGAAAGACTTTTCAAAATGGACTCTAGCTTAGCACCGATTGAACTAAAAGTGGGGAGTGTCTCTTCCCTAATAGGGAGGGTAGGTTCACTATTGTACTCATGATATTAGATTCTATAATCCATGTAGCATAAAGAGTTTCCAAACTATATCTCCTAGTTCTTGAACTATGTTTCCCCCATAGGAATACTAGATAATGGATCCACAGAGATGTTATGTTCATGTTTTGGTACAACCTTGGCAAGTAGTCCACCTTCTTTCGGTGTAGGGTTCCATGACACCGGATTCCACATTGGCTAATGTGGTCTACGTTGATGAAAGATGTTCCCAAAAGTAAAATAATGTAATAAAATTGACACTAACTAGAATGACTTGAGGGGTTTGACATAGTCTAGGTAGGGGTATTGAACTCTACATATACATTGAACTAGTTTTCCTTGAGGGAAGTCTTAGGAGGATGTTCTTATGTTTTATGCTCTTATAAAGTGAATGATATATATGTTTTGACTAAACATGTTGGTTTCATTTATTCTTATGGTATTGTATATATTTATATAGTATATGATGCTTACTACTCTTAATGTTAAGTTATGTAATGTTAAGCATTGCTTGTGATTCCTTATTTGGTTTTCTTGATTGTGTAAGGTTATGGGTATTTAATTGGTCATTGCCTTTGTAGACTTAATGGTGGGTTTATGACTAATGGTCTTGCTTAATTTATGATGTCATTAACTCTTATTCATGCTTTGTTGTTGTAAATATTATGTTAGGGTTATATTGATTATGAACTCTATTAGCATATGAAATGTTGACATTGGCTTAACATGAGTATTATGGTCTTGTGTTCAATATGATATGGTCTTAATGAATATGTGATTATTTTCTTATATGTTTTCTTGATTGTTCATAAGGCTTTTAAAAGTAACTTGGCATTGTTTTGAACAAATGTCCTTTTTAGCATGAATTCTATGTTGTGTGTGTAAATGATTCCATACTTAGTACAAGTGATGTGCTAACCCTATTTCTCCCCTTTTCCCCAACATTTTAGGTTACGGTCATTGAAGGTTTGTGACAACTTTTAAGGAAGGCTTGCATAATTTCTCCAAGTTTGGTTGGAGGATGATGCCTTTCTATCACTCTACCTATGTTACATTGTTATAGTCTAAAGACACTCGTTTCACTCATGTTGTTTAAAGATATTGCGGCAAGAACTATGTGGCAATTATACATTTGTGTAAGGGATATGACCATATTGTTCTATTCCTTTTAGATGGTTTAACATGAGACATCCCTTTTAACACAATTATGTATGTTGTATATATGTGGCATAAAAGTAGAAGACTATGTTATCTTCTTATAAGAGGAGTCTATGTATACTAACTATGAATTTAAATTATGTGTAAGCGAGAGGTCTAAGTTAACGTCATGAAGCAGATGTAGCTATGAATTGTATTGACGAATTATAGGAGGTTAGTATTAGTCCTCTTGAAGGAAGACGACACCGGTTAATTCTATGGGGTGCTCCCAAATTTGACAGTATTCAACCTCTCAAAGGTCTTATAAAAGTCTTTGACATTATGCGTATATATATATATATATATATATATATATATATATATATATTAAAAGTAGTGCGGAATTAAAACTTTTTAGAACATCATATAAAATCTCTTTATAGATAAACATAAGAAATTCTAAGTCTCTTTCTCTCAATCTTAGACACATGAATATCTCTTTCTCTCCATCTTAGACACATGAATATCTTTGGTCACGGCTCATACATCAACAAATAGAAATAACAAAGTCTAATACAATGTCTTTGAGAGGAAAAGCTAAACATATTTATGTCCTCTAATTAATCGAGGACATACCACAACTTTCTTGAAAGATTGATAAAATCCAAGTTCACTTCAAATAACTCCTCGCAATTGTCACCTACATATTTAGAGATAAGATAATATATATGGAATTATCACATTAGAATTGTAACACCTTGAATTCTTATGAACAAGACTAGAGACTAATCTATTAAATGATCGCAAAAATGATGTTTCAAGACATATAATAACATAATAAAGTTTGTTTGGAAGTATTAGAGCCTAAACGTCGAAGGAAGACCCTGACGTCCAGAAACTAGCAAAATTGAACTACTAGACATCCTTCTGTTTAGTGAGTGTTTGGTGGTATCATTTTAGTTCTTAATTATGTAAAAATACTTTAAGTAGGTAAAATAATGATTATAGGGTTAGAACGTCTAGTCACAACTCCCCAAGGACTACCCACAGAGTCTTTGAGGAGGACCCAAACATTGGCAAACAGGCTTCCAAACTAGTTTGTGACAGCGAAGATTTGAAGACATCCACGCATCGCACCCTCAACACTAAAGAGGCAAAAATTGCCTCACGACGCGGGGCCTTCACAAAACTCACTGCCTCAAAGTGAATTTCCAAAAAAAATGGAATAGCTCCAGCGAAACGCAGCCACTTCTCAGATTCGTTTGCGTCGTTTTTAAGTAAATTTGACTTCACAAAAACAGCCAATTAAGTGAAGGATACTTTGGGTAATATAGGGGGCGAATATATATATTTATTTAGGGTAAGTTTTAAGACATTTTTACCCATTCAATAAATTTCCCAAAAACAATCTCACTTCTTTCTAAATTTTCTCTCAACTCAACCTCTATTGAAGAGATTCGGAAGCATGAAGAAGGAGACCCATTTCTCAAGCTACTCACTTTAGTTTCATGGGAAATCATCAATTAAGATATGGGGATGTTTATTTATGGATTATTTTCTCCATGAATCCCTTCAAAACTTTTATTTTCAAATTCTATATTGTGACAAAAAACTAGGCCTTTTGATCTATTCATGGGTCCAATACAAAATATTTTTCGTTGTTTTATATGCCTTGAGTTATGAATGTTTTGGGATTTATTGTTGATTTCTATTGTGAAAATATTCCAAGAACTCATGTGCACCCTATGACCATATCTCTTGAATGTTTATAAATGAATTGAGTATATAGGAACATGATGCATTGTAATTGATGATTATCTAGTCATAGAATCTTGTTTTCATGCCTATTGTGAGGTAGATGGGGGTGATCATGATGCTTGATTCCTAACCTTTAAAAAAGGATAAATTCTAGGGTTTTTATATATGATGAAGATTATTGTGCATACACTTAGAATTTGCTTGCAAGGTACATAGCTTATGAAAGGATGCAAGAAAGGTAATTGGATTGTAAAATATAAAATAGGACTAACTATTAAGACTTTTCTACCAACTTATATTCTCATTTTTATAAGTTCTAAAACTATGTAACCTTGTCTTCAAGGTATTGAATTTTAATATATGACTTGCAATACTTCAAAGCCCATAAACGTGATGTTTTAATCTGCAATTTTTTTAGCTAAATAAAACTGCATCTTTAATTTCAGAAATTTGAACTTTTTTGCTCAAGTCATACACATTTTGAGCTAAAACTCGACACTCTTTTGGGCTCAAAATTACAATACTTTTGGTGCTCAAAAGATTACACTCTTTGAGCTTAAAACTCTGCATTTTTCCAAGTTAATATCTGCACTTTTTACGCATAGAAGAGCATGTGTAAGCCTCATTTCCACACTAAAACATCTGCAACTTTTAAGCTAAAATATGTAATTTTAAGACCAAAAATCTGCATTTTGTCTAAAAATCTGCACTTCCCTCAGCATCAAAGTGTGCACTCGTAGGCTATCAAAACCACACTTTAAACACTTCATTATGAAAAAGAATCTAAAAATAAGTTTGCGGTAAAAGAATTATTCCTAAAGTTGAATTTCTTTAAAAGCTAAGTTCTCATAGACACCAAAATGTGTCATGAAATAAATAAATCTTAGTTGAAAAACAATGTCCTTCTAAACTAAATAACTATAATAGACCTAATATTTAAAGGAATGTGGAGGTGAATACTTTACAATCGTTCTTTGTTGTTACAAAACAAACAAAATAAAAGAAAGCATAATATAAGCACGAAACATTAATATTAAAAAGGTTAGTCAAAAACAGCAACACATTTAATATGATTAAAAAGCACATGTTTTTGAAGAAAGAAGAAAGTGTTGGACGCTATTGACGCGAAAATGGGCTGCTAGACATGAGCTTAGGCGACAATTAGCCGAGCAAATCAAAGGTGTGTAAGCACGAGTGATTTTTATGTCATTTTACTAGTACTAATGTTCTTTATTGTTTTTGTTGAGTTGTCTTATTGCTAGGTACCATGAGAACTGGAAGTGAAACCCAACCACCTAGAGGAGGGTTACTTTGGAATCTATAATAGAGAATATGGATGGATAATGGAGAAAGTGGAATGAAAAATGGCCAACATGAAAGTGAGTGTTTAAAGATGGATGATAGAATTAACAATTTGAAGGGTCGAATTTACGCTACTAATTCCACCCAATAGGCTAATTTTCGTGTTTCCACAAGTGGGTACGACCACACTATTTTTCCTTCTATTACACCCCTAGCATTACATGAAACGTCTAACCAAAAACCTATACATTTCCAAACCGATGTCCAAAATACTTATCAATCATTTCAATCCCAACTCAATGAAGAAGCTCCACCAAACTAAAAATTGACTGGTACCACATGGGTGAAGAAAATATGGGAACCAACCTCAAGATGGAGAACAACTGAAAGCCTATGACAATCAAGAGTATGATCAAGAATTGAGAGAAGAACATGATAACCAATATCAAGGGGAAGTCCAAAGAGTTTACTACAACAACAACCATGTGGATCAGGGCCAAGGAATAAACTATGAGGACCAAGGTGAAAATGGAGGTCTTGTTATTTGAATCAACTGTATCAAGACTAATCTCCTACCTTTCAAAGGGGAATGAAATCCCAATGATTTTCTAGAATCAGACTTGGTTTGTGAATGAATCTTCTCAGTCAAGGATTTGACCGACGTCAAGAAAAGTTGCTTTGTAATTTCTCAATTTGATTGATTTTGTATTATGTGGTGGGAATAAATTAAAAGGTATCATTCAATACTTACTGTCCACCGTGGACCGCATCGAAATCTCGTACGAGAGTCAAGTATGTTTCGAAAAGGTCTCACAAAGAGTTACTTGATAAGTTGTACAACTTGATGACAAGAGGCAAAAGTATTGTGGCTTTCTATGATGAGTTCCAAAATTTGATCTTGAAGGTACAATACATCGAAAAATGAAGAGCATGTCTTTATTCATTTCACGAAGTATGGAACAAGAAAATATTTCCCATTATTACTACTCACATGTTTTCTAGCTTGAAAAATATCACTAAAGTGCACAATGTGGTAGAGGGGGAACACAAAGATATTAAAGTACAAAAGTACAAGGGTATTTCATCTTTAAATTATTGGAATAATAACAAGGAGGTGGATGGAGCTCAAACATCTTCGAGTTGGAACAAAAATAAGGATTTGAAGAAGCCTTATGAAGGAAACACTCCAAAGTACCCACCAAGGGAAGAAAATAATTAGGGCTCCAAAAAATTTTCTAAAGTCATTTTATGTCACAAGTGTAAAGAATGGGTTCATATGATGTTTAAATGTCTTAATCGTTTGACTATGCTAGTTCAAGGAGAGGAATTGTATCTTGGTGAGGGGGTAGATCAATAAAAGGGATGTGAAGAAGAAATCCAAGAAAATGATGACTTGCGAGGTGATTAAGATGAGGAACAAGACCTATGTGAGGGAAAAGTCATCTCTGTTGCAAATAGTTTGACGAGGAAGACAACAATTGAAGAATCTTGTCCCCAAGAAGGAGAGTTTACCGACCGCATGTATGCGCTGAGGTGAGTAATGATTAGCAACACAATGACTAATCCAAGTCAATGAACCCTCGATTCTCCACAATCACTGAATAGTCATCTAATAAAATAGAATGAAATCGGGTCTAGCCTATACATCATTTCCAAAATTGAAAAGCAATAAGTAAACTATGAATAATGAAAATCCGCCTTAGTAGCATGAGTACTCACCAATGCTCTCGAACCTCACAATCAACCATTTGCAACGATATTGAGAAACCTGACTGTCGGGCCCTATATTTGGGAAAATATAGGCAAGAGTATACGTTAGTACACAATATTGTACCAAGTATTATAGCTATAAATAAAGCAATTAAATCATTCTAAAATAGGAAATTTCTTGTCATGCAACTGACCAAGATAAAATATGATATAAAAGGGTTAGAAAATATAAGTCGTAAAACATTGTCAATGCAAGATAACATCATTTGGAACCTTTGAACACATATGAGATACTTCTTAAAGTAACCTTAGTTCGTCATTTGCAAAGACCGGGTTCCTTCCTTATAAAAATGTCAACGAGGGAAAAGTTAGGACCAAAAAAACCTCTTCGTAGTGTTGGAGTTTTCTAACCTTGTCCAGATTTTGAAGAAATTAGAGTCATCAACCTATAGGGAAATCTTTTAGCAATTAAGTGGAGTAGATATGAAATCTATTGCATAATCGGTTAGATATCTCGCTAAGGAATCCGTATTAATTGAAAAAAATTGAATTTTGATAAATAAAGCTCAGAGAATTGATCTTAGCATGAAGGGTTTGTAATGTGCATAGTAGGATAAGAGTGTTGTAAAAAAAGAGGAATTGAATTTCTCTAGAAAAGTTTCTATCTCACTTTTGGCTGCTCTAGCGGGATTTGTGCCGCTACAGCCATTCCGCTCTAGTAGAGTGATGAGGATTGGAAATTGTAGATTTTTTGGATTTTTGCAATAAGGCTCACTGGTTCGAAAAAATGCTACATCGGAATTTATGACGCTACAGCGGTATTAGTGTCGATGTAGGGGGAAATTCGCGAATAAAATCGTAATAAAACCTCTAAATGAACTTATTTGACACTCGGCAACTTTTAGAGCTAAAGAACGACCCCTGAGCTTTCATCATTCTTGAAGCTAAAGGAATGTTTTTTCTTCCTGAATAAACTTTTTAATCCGTAGAACGTAATTGAATGGGTTAATGTTTATGGGAGAGGGTTTCTTGATAGATTCTATGGTGTAATTACTCCTAAATTGACTAGTTTGGATCATGATTCTGATCTACGGTTCATAAAAATGTTAGTACTCCGGGTAATCAGCAATTATTTATTGATTTCTGTATTATTGCTTCTATAACTTAAATGCCTTAGTTTTTGAATAATTTCTTTAAGTGGATAGTAGTTGTTGTTCTCTCACCATCTTGTAAGTTTGGGTACTAATTACGTCGGCTTGGTTCATGACATTTTTAATTTGGGAAGTAGACTTAACTTACATAAAAAGCATGTTATCTATAACATGACCCCTCTCTTTCTCCCACACCGAAAAGGGTTATCCTACTTCTCAAGGTAAGGACCATGAACTTCTAGCTTAGGTGGATTAATTAGCTAATGTATATATGTACAATCATCCTATCGGGGCACATATGTATGGTAAGGAGATTGATTTATAAAACTTGGTCTCTACTAACGTGAGATCTTCCATCTCAATATCCTATCCATGCTAAGCATAAATTCCACGAAATAGTCATTTCTTATTTGTTCATGTTATCCGTGGAAGACACGTCATGTTACCAATCCAAGATGAGTCATAATCCATGAAAAAGTATTATACAGTAACCAATCCAAAATAGGTTTCGTTGGGATTGCTCTTAATCATTGATTCATTTAGGGCATAAGAACTTTCAATCTTAGAATCCTTTATTATGTGAGAAAATCTTTCACATCAAACATTTATGTGTTTCATGAGAAATCCTTACAACACCACAATAAAAACATAATCATTGATATTGTACTTTCAAAGTATCCATAAAACATTTGCATTAATTTTATAAGACCATACATAATTTCATATTTACCTAGATTTCAAGGTTTAAAACCAATATTTAATCATCAACATTTAGAAAACATGGATTAGATATGGATTTCATCATAAATTCATATAATTGTCTCAATACATGCATAATTTCATAACACTCTTCCTATGAAATCAAAATCTCTCATCATATGATCATAACATGAAAACATGGGGATTACATGGGTTCATCGGGGAAACTATCATAAAATCATAGTATTTCATCAATTCATGCATAAGAGATTATATTTTTATCATTTAAATCAATAATCATGAGAACCCATAACAATTGAAGAAAATCCTAACTTAATTTGAGATTTCTAACTTTGAGAATTGAGGAATTCGGGAACTCCATGGATGGATTTCTAACTTTGAGAATAGAGGAATTCGGGAACTACATGAATGAAAAATATCATCACCGTGAAGACAATTACTTACCTTCAATGCAGGAATTGAGATTTCACATGAAACCCTATGTTTAATTCTTCTTCAAGCATTGTAGAGAAATAAATATTTGAGAGTTCTTCTTTTTGGTGAGTTTGAAGAGAATGAAGGGAATGGATGAGTTGTGGGGTTAAAATTACTTATGTAGGGGTCTTAGTGAAGGGTAAACGATGTATTATAGAGATAAAATAACAGGAAAAAACCCATGCCCCTAAAAAAAATCCTACCAGCCCACCATCAATGGCCATAATCGACGGACCGTGAACAGGACGATGAGCCGTCTTACATGACTGTCATTTTAGGTTTGAACTTGGTTTTTGGGCCCTTGAACCATGGTTGGTCCACTGATCAGGCCATACCATGGATTCATGGCTAGTGATGAACTTGAATGTGACTAGTCAAGACTACCCTACGGTTCGTGGTCTCTGCAACAGGCTGTGCTTGGCCTCTTTGGCTTGCACCGACAACCTCCTTAAATTTTTATTTTTACCCTTTTTCATATACGGGGCGCTATAATATTTCCCCCTTGAGATCATTCGTCCGCGAATGTGATTCAAGATAGTATGGAAAGAGTAGGAGAGGAACTAACAACTCAAACAACAATGCAAGCTCTTCTAAATGTATATAACCAAGGAGGAATTATCATCTCCAAGATAAGACGTAACCAAAACATCATAAGAGGGGTGAAACTAAATCTAAGCCCAACATGCATGGAATACACATATCAGAGGAGGAAACATTAACTCCAAGCTAACATTCAAGGACGAGACATCCACTCCAAACTAAGAACATACTCAAATGAATATACCTTAGGAGGAAGCATCAACTCTAAGGTAAAAACATGCTCATAACATCATATGATGTAGTCTACATGCAATACATACTCATATGCATATAAACATGCAGAAATCAATCAAATTGACCTATTTTCTCAATTCTTGAACTTTTCATAGATCATACATAGTAGTGAAATCATTAGAACATATAAGACACATGACATTAGAACATATAAGACACATGACTCCAAAACAATTAGTGAACCATGAGGAACACATTGCCTTGAGATAGAGTAGGAGTAGAAGGAAAGAGATGAGGATATGAGTATAGACATGTAATTTTTTATCGAACATAAATTTGTAAAGTATTTTTATATTCCTTAAATGTTTCTAAAGGCTAAGCTAGATATTTTGGTAAGATATTTTGATTTTGTCATATTTTTAGTAAGTTCTTATAAAAATATTTTAAAATAACAAAAAAAGATATGTTTTATTTTTATTTTAGTTTAATAAATAAGATGGCATAATATTTCTTATGTATAACTATTATTATCTTACTTAATTTTTATTTTAAAAATAATCAATTAAATAAATTATATTATGTTATATTATGTTATGCTATTTTATATTATATAATATTATATTATATTATATTGTAGTATTAGAAATAATTTACTCCACTTCCATTTCCACCCAACGTTTACCCAAACACCCCATTTCCTATTCCACACCCACTACAAAACTGCACATAACCCCCAAAAAACACGCTCCAATAAATAAATAACAACACTTGTACCACTCCAAAACACAACACTGACACGAAGGAAGGAGAAAAATAAACGGAAAAATAAATAACAACACTTATACCACTCCAAAACACATCACTTACACGAAGGAACGAGAAAAATCAACGGACTGCACAACACATAAAATTCTACACTATCCTAAGAAAATAATACACGATAAAAAATTTAAACAAAAAGAAGGAAAACACTTCCATTTTATTTATTCTTCTTTCAAATAATAATCGAACATTCACATCTTTTCTTTGTTACCCATTATTTTCATATAAAAACAAATGCATATACCATCACAAACAACCTATAAAAGATTCGTGGGTGTTTTAATCGATCTTCAGTCAAGATCTTACAGATCTTATCTTATTTACATAATGTTAAAATTTATTTTATTTCTTTATTTTATTCATGAAATTTGACGTAACTATGTCATATGTTTGCTTACACTTTTGTTTATTTATAATTTGATTAAAATGAATGATATGTTAAGTGTCATATCTCTTTAATGAATTTACAATTTGATTAAAATGAATGATATGTTTAGTGTCAAATCTCTTTAATGAATTCATAATTTGATTAAAATGAATGATATGTTAAGCGCCATATTTCTTTAATGAATGAAGGTAGCATTACTTTTATTTATTTATTTTATTCATTAGTTGTGATCTCTTAAAATGAATGGATTTTGGCGTTATTCTTTCCTTCATTTCGATACGAATAATGATTAGAACAAAATATTGGGCTCAAAAAATTATCGTTATTTTATTTATCAAATAAAGACTGAGATTTATTATAGCAATTCGTCATGATTTTGTTGGATTAGTAACAAATTATAATATGTACATGCTATTATCCTAGTAACTTTAAGATTAAAAGAAAAAAAATATGTGTTGGTCTACGTTAACTTTTGAGAGTAAATACAATAAAAGAATAAAAGATATTAAAAAATTTATATGGCATGCTAGAAGTTTAGATTTACATTATTACTTTATTTGATTTTATTCATGAAGAACTAATATTTTCTTATAATATTAGATGTGTTTAAGGCATGTTAAACAATATTTGTTTCAACTAAAAATGCGATTACACATATTTGCCATATTTTTTGAAAAATGCACTAAAAAGAAATTTAAGGAAGCTACTCACTTTAGCCAAATTATTTTTATTGTCAAACTTATTAAAGTTAAACTAAATTTTTTAAACTGAGAATATTAGATGATGCTCTCAATAGAAGAAAACAATTATGCTTCTAAGTTATTACTTGTCAAAACCAAGAATGCTAACAAATAATGGCCTGAAATAATACATCCAAAAAAAATCTATGTATAATTGAAAAGCAATCGTTCTAGAAATACGGAAGTCGAGGGATGTCTGGTCACCAAAATTCTTTAACCCAATTTTTAGTTCTCAAAATAAATTTAAGAGTAATTTTCTTTTGATTAGGGATTAAAAAAAAGGTGACTATGAATACCATCATTCAATTTCAAGTCACGAATCTAAAAAATAAACTAATCCCTTAATCAATAACATTATTTAAATTGAAAAAATCCTTTTGCCTCACGAAAAAGCTGTGAGACATCTTTGACCACTCGCTGAGGAATAACTAGAATTCGAGTTTTATTATATTCACTTTTACTTGATTTTATTATTAATTTTTTGATATATTGTCTATGACAGTAATATGTGCTACTTGTTGTTCATTTATTAATTTAATATTAATGAATTTTATTATACATGTTTTCTTTCGTGCATCTCTTCTTACTCTGTGAACATACTTTATATCTTGTCACAAGATCAACTATGCATCCAACATTCTTGTTGAGATAAAGCTAGAGTTCTAGTGAAGGATTTTTAGTTGCATATGTTCGGCGGAACTGGACCAACAATGAAGTTGAAATAGCGTTACTATCAATTATTTGTCCCTCTCTAGCTCGAGTTGTCCACTTGTGTAAGCCAGTCTAGATACCTATCTCCTTCAGGTTTGAACCTATTAAAACTAGAATATAGACATATTTATCTCTAGAAGATTCCACTTATGCATAATTTGTATTTGACTTAGTGAGCCTTTAAACAAGAGTTGGGTTTGTCCTGGGCAAGTATCCCTTTCTTACATAACCACTTAGTTCATTATTTGAAAATGTATTAATTCGAAAAGTTTGATTAGTGGAATGAGAATTTTATTTTTATTTTTTATTCAAAATAAGAAAAAGGAAGAAAACATAAAGATAGTTCTTCTTTTATAATTTATTTTACCTTTTTAACAAAAATGAAATCAAAGTTTTTTAAGTATTTAATCAAAATAAAAAAAAATTGTACAATTAAATAAAAAAGGTTCAAATTATTTTACTTTCATAATAGTTTGAAAAATTGCATTTGTGAAAAATAATAATGAAGTTGTAATATCTCAAAAAAAAATCTTATTGTCCAATCTCAACGAACTACGCCCACCTGATTCTCAACATTATGAGATACCATGATGACCCGAGAGATCATTTTTGAAATTTTATAAAATCACTATTTTACCCCTCTTGATAGTTATACCGAAATATTTTAAATTATTTGTTGAATGGTTTTGAAAATTTAAACAATTATTTAGATATATTTAGTTAATTAACAAATGATTTTTAAATAATTAATTTAATTGGTGGTTAATAGGCCAAATTACTACCCTATATTAATTTTAAATTAAATCATAATTTATTTATTTTCTTTTGGGAGAAAAACAAAATAAAACCTCCCAGGAAGTGTTTTACAGTGTCGAGGACAAACCATTGGGATGGGTAAGTTATAACAGGTAAGAATTTATTTCGTCAAAGCTTTACGTTTGTATATATGGATAACGAGCTTACATTGTTTTTGTTATTATAAATCGATGGGTTGGGAAAAAAAGAAAAGGAAATTGAATCTGAAAGGGTTTGAATTTTTTAACAGTAACAATGGTGGAATTTTTACTTGTGGATAAGGATTTGATTGCCAATAATTGTCGATTATAAGTAAAAAATGATAATGAAAGGAATTTATAATTTAGTTAAGCTTTTATGTATTATTTATTAGTCAGGGTATGAGTTACTCCTCTGAGATTGGGTTCAAATTTTTCATATGGTTGTCATGTTATGATTCATGTTTTAATATATTGTTATATGTGATTAAATAGTAGATATATTGTCCTATACAAATTATATTAAAATTATGATATTGGAGAAGTTGGAACCCTTTGCATGAAATTTTAGACATGATATTTGACAAAAACACAGGACTTGATTTTAGGTTGGTATAAATTTTTTGATCTAGGCTGCACAAATTGTAATATGTGTATTGTATGTATTGAAAACTTATTGTGATTGATTATTTGAATAGATTGTATTGATTAGGAAGTCTAACGAAAGGGGAAGGCTCAAGTCCTAGAGTGATTGTTCGATGATTTAAGACAAGTTAATTTATAAACCATGGTTAAACATATGAAATTCATGTATTTCATTGTAATATGTGTTTCGCGGTGATGAGACTTGGTGACGGGTTGACTTGTCCACATTGAGTAATTCT